ACAAAAAAAGGTAATTAATCAATATTACCAGTATTGTTTCCCTGTACAACGTATACAGTACTGCAATATTCTTATGATAATTACTCAGTTTAACATTTAGGGATAATACTGAATGCTAGTTTAGGATGGCAAGTACAGGAGGGATAATAGTACACATTCACTATCTATAATAAAGTAAGAAATCAACATATTGATTTTTTTTTATAGTTTTTTAGCTTAACACAGGGAGTATAATCTAAAGCATTTGATTCCATGCTAAGTTCTTAAGTTGCCTGCTGACTATCTGAAATTTCAGAGTGAAGAGATGAAAAAATACGAAAAGATGATTAATGAACTTGAGTTTGAATAAATTGCAATCAATCATCTGAAAAGTCTTGCAGAAAATTGGCACGAGCACAATTCAATAAAATTGTATAATAAGCGATGCATTGCAATTACTGTATAAAAACATTAAAGAATGTAGTTAGTAGGTCAGAGGTTAAAAGCTTCTATCTATATAATTATAATTTATATAATTAATATGCATTTACAGTATCTTTAATTTTATTTATTTTTTTTTATGGTTCACGTGGTTGAACGAAAATAGATAAAATTTGACCTGGTTTCATTTAGCTATAAAATTATGAATTATAAAAAATTTAATATTTTTATTATTAAAGTTTAATAATTAATGTGAATGATAATGAAAATAATTAAAACAAAAATTAAAACAAAATTTGGTACTGATACTGTATATCACTGATAGATTAACACATACCTAGAGATAATGGTAATAGTTAACAGAGATTGCAGCTCAACATGGTAACATAAATGTGTATGGTATGTCCAGGATGTTGCAGTTTTGAAATCATTGTAATCCATATAGAATGCACTTACTACATGAGTAGAAATACAATACTTTGCAGGTATGTTTCATGTTATTCATGTTTGCTTATAGGGAGCCAATGACCAGAGTAATAGTAGTGTTGAAAGCGCTTTCAGTAATATAAACATTATTTTATGAGGAATTTCATCATTTATAATAATAGTATGTCAGTTTTATATTTCACATTATGTCAAGGCCTTTATGGACTTAATATCATTGTATGTTGGTCATTGCATGGAATG